CCTGCAGCTAAGGGGCCATTTTTCTTCTAGGATTGCTGTCCATTCTCCACTGCCACGATTTCGTTTTCTTAACAAAGGGAACTTGAGGTAGCTTCCTCCAAGACACACATGATGACAGTTAAAAAGAAAGTGGAAGAGCTCAGAAACTGCAAAGGAAGGCAGCGGGCGATTCTATCAGGAACTGGAGGAACGATGACGGCTGTTCTTGAATGTTACATTTATTTATTTCTTGAGATGGAGTCTTACTCTGTCACCCAGGCTGCAGTGTAGTGGTGAGATACTGGCTCACTGCAACCTCCGTCTCCTGGGTTCAAGCGATTCTCCTGCCTCAGGAGTTAGGACTACAGGCGCCTGCCACCATGGCTGGCTAATTTTGTTTTTTCAGTAGAGATGGGATTTCATCATGTTGGCCAGGCTGGTCTCAAACTCCTGACCTCATGATCTGCCCACTTTGGCCTCCAAAAATGCTGGGATTATAGGCGTGAGACACTGCTTGCCCAGCTTGAATGTTAAATTTATCTTAAGCTTCCTGGTGCCCCGAGCAAAAGAGAGGGACATGATAAGTCCCTAGGGCCACAGTCTCAAAAAGGAAGTGTACTAGGTTTTCTGGAAAGTGAAACTTCTTTTTTTTTCTTTTCTTTGAGACTGAGGAGTTTTGCTCTTGTTGCCCAGGCTGGAGTATAATGGCATGATCTCAGCTCACTGAGGGAATTCTCCTGCCTCAGCCTCCCAAGTAGCTGGGATTACAGGTGCCCATCACCAGGCCTGGCTAATTTTTGTTTTGGTTTGCTTTTGGTTTTATTGAGACAGAGTCTTGCTCTGTCGTCCAGCTGGAGTGCAGTGGTACAATCTCGGCTGGCTACAACCTCTGCCTCCCAGGTTCAAGCAATTCTCCTGCCTCAGCCTCCTGAGTAGCTGGGCATGTGCCACCACGCCTGGCTAATTTTTGTATTTTTAGTAGAGACGGGGTGTCACTACTAAAATAATATGGCCAGGCTGGTCTCGAACTCCTGACCTTGTGGTCCACCCACCTCAGCCTCCCAAAGTGCTGGGATTATAGGTGTGAGCCACCATGTCTGGCCATATTATTATTATTATTATTTTAGGAGAGACGGGGTTTTGCCATGTTGGCCAGGCTGTCCTGGGACTCTTGGCCTCAGGTGATCCACCCACCTTGGCCTCCCAACATGCTGGGATTACACGCATGAGCCACCTCGCCTGGCTGAAATTGAAACTCGTTAGGACTGAGGACTAAGGAGACCCGTGGCATGATGAAGTAGCAAGGATCTGGAAGAAGTTATTATAAACATTTATAGATGGTGTGGTCCTGAAAAAGGACTCAACCTTCCTGAGCCTCAGTTTTCTCATCCGTAAATTGGGGATGATAAGATTTACCTTGCTGGGCTGTTGTGGGTATCAGGGAGAAAATATAACTCCTCCTCAGCCCCTTTAAGTTTGTAGTTAGGACATACCACTTTACAAAAGGCAGATTCACATGAAAACCCAGCAAGTTTATTAACACATGCAGTGCACATAGCGAGGAAGAAACCTCAATGAAAGGTGACCTGAAGCAGTGGCTCAGAGCTCTGGCTTATCCAGCACCTTTGACAACGAATAAAAATTTTTTTTTTTTTTTTTTTTTTTTTTTGAGATGGAGTCTTGCTCTGTTGCCAGGCTGGAGTGCAGTGGCGTGATCTCAGCTCACTGCAACCTCCACCTCCCTGGTCCAAGCAATTCTCCTGCCTCAGCCTCCCCAGTAGCTGGGACTACAGGTGTGTGCCACCACACCCGGCTAATTTTGTATTTTTAGTAGAGCCACCGTGCCCGGCCCAGTCTTGACTTTTTGCATACCTAAATATAGGACATAAATTCTATTTTACTGGAGACAATGCTTATCAGCTCAGAGGCACCAGAAGAGCCTACAAACAAACCTTCCTCCATTCATTTTCTCCCATATATTTACCTTCCCACAGTTTCCCACCCCAGGAAGCCTAAAACTGCTTTCCCTTGTCTTGTCACTTCTTGAAAATTCATTGTTATGGCCAGGCAAGGTGGCTCACACCTGTAATCCCAGCATTTTGGGAGGTCGAGGTGGGCAGATGGAGGCGGGTGACAAAGTGAGACCCTGTCTCAAAATAATAACAACAATAATAATAATCATTTAAAAGTCAAGATTACAACAAATCTAGTTTACAGATCTTAACTGACTTTCATTCATGATTCTACTTACTATTACTATTTTTTTTAGAAATAGGGTCTCATTTTGTCACCCAGGCTGAATTGCAGAGGTGAGATCACAGCTCACTGCAACCTTGAATTTCTGGGCTCAAGCAACCCTCCTTCTTCCTCAGTCTCCCAAGTAGCTAAAACTACAGGCACATGCCACCATGCCTGGCTAATTTTGTATTTCTTTTTTTTTTTTTTTTTTTGAGACGGAGTTTCACTCATGTTACCCAGGCTGGAGTGCAATGGCGCGATCTCGGCTCACCGCAACCTCCGCCTCCTGGTTTCAGGCAATTCTCCTGCCTCAGCCTCCTGAGTAGCTGGGACTACAGGCACGCGCCACCATGCCCAGCTGATTTTTTGTAGTTTTAGTAGAGACAGGGTTTCACCATGTTGACCAGGATGGTCTCGATCTCTTGACCTCGTGATCCACCCGCCTCGGCCTCCCAAAGTGCTGGCGTGAGCCACCGCGCCCAGCCTAATTTTGTATTTCTTTGTAAAGATGAGATCTCACTATGTTGCTCAGACTGGTCTTGATCCTCTAACCTCAGCCTCCCAAAGTGTTGGAATTCCAGGCGTGAGCCACTGCTGCCTGGCCTATTAATGGGTCTAACATTGGGAGTCCCTCAGAACCAGGACAGGTTTAAAGGACTTCAGCCAGTAACATAGTGTTTATGGATGAAAAACAGAAGTAAGGTACAGAGCTTAATTGGTTACGGTGTTTGCCTTGTTTGAATCAGTTGGCCACCTAAGATCTATTAAAGCTCAGCTGCTGTAACTGACCAAAACTCACCTATTTGCTACGTGATATACTCTTAAGTTAATTAGCTTCATTTAGCATGAATGACTCCATATTGATTTGGTCTGTTGGACCCAGTACAGGGTACTTGTCCAAATCAATGGCCTCCTGCGAATTTTATTTATCAGGCAGAAAGGGGCAGAGGATAGAAAGGTCTCTTCATCTGCTTGCTGCTTCTTAATTGCCTTCAGCTAAAAAATATTTATGTCAAAGAGGTATATTTTGGGGGGACATATTCTGGTTTCCTTCACGGGGATCAAAGGGAACAATATAGCCCATCTTAGCGCTTGGCAATTTGGCACGGCTCCATTCTCCTGGCAGCGTCTCGCATAGTAAAAAGCATGACTTGAACTGCTGTCAGCACATACATATTCAATGAAGAGTTCCCTTGGAGGATGCGAAAGCATTCCTTACCTGGCTGTTTCTTGCAATGAACTCTGAAGACCAGAGGGCAGTGTTGAAGGTGCAGCCTAGCAAAAGCATGGACAGGACCAGGTTTTAGGAAACCTCGGGACAGGCTGCTCACTTGGCCGTCAGAGTTCCTTCTGAAATGCCCATTGTTCTTCTGGCTCTTGGCATCCTTGAAGTGGGCTAGAGACCCCGGCTAAGGCCCAGTGATCTGAGCCTGGGGTAGGCGTGAGGCTGCAAGCCTCAGACGCTTCACTATGAAGGGTGTTCGGGTGCATTCCTGGAGTCAGCCCAACGTTCCTTCCAAAAGGGACCTGTAGTCCCTCCTGGCTCCTCTGCAAGTGTCCACCTCGGGATACAGAACTTGCAGCCTGGACCTTAGAAAACTGGGACCAGGCCGGGTACGGGCCTCACCCTTCCAAGTAGCTTGGACTGCAGGTTCATGCCACCATGCCTAGTTAATTTTTGTATTTTTAGTAGAGACGGGGTTTTGCCATGCTGGTCTCAAACTCCTGACCTCAGGTGACCCACTCGTCTTGGCCTCCCAAAGGAGGCCAAGGGATTACAGAAATGAGCCACCATGCCTGGCCAGGCAGAGGTTGCAGTGAGCTGAGATTGTGCTACTGCACTCCAGCCTGCATGACAGAGCGAGACCCTGTCTCAAAAAACAAAAAAACAAAACAAAAAATAAATCCTGGGACCATTTAACAAGCCACTCCATCTTACCCAAGCCCTCTCCCCTTTCCTGGCTGGAGTAATGGCCTCTGGGCCTCTCTTTCTTTCTCTTTCTTTTTTTGGAGGGCAGGGGAAAAAAATTAGACGGGATTGGTGGCGAGTGCCTGTAATCCTGGCGACTCAAGAAGCTGAGGCGGGACAACCCGGAGGCAGAGGTTGCAGTAAACCAAGATCGCACCACTGCACTCCAGCCTGAGCGACAGAGCCAGCCTCCCTCTCAAAAAAAAAAAATAAATAAAAGGGCAGGGAGAGGAACTGAATTAAGATGATGCTAAATTAGAAACAAAAAAAAAAAAAAAAAAAGTCACCTACGTGTGGTGGTGTGTACCTGTAATCCCAGCTACTTGGGAGGCGGAGGCAGAAGAATTTCTTGAACCTGGGACAGGGAGTTGCAGTGAGCCGAGATCGGGCCACTGCACTCCGGCCTGGACAACAGAGCAAGCTCTGTCTTGAAAAAAAAGAAAAGAAAAATAGGAATAGAGGCTTGGGCTCCTGGGGAGGTGATACAGAAGTTAAGGGAGAGTGCGGTGGGACAGAGTATGGTGAATGAAGCTTGCTTGTCTTCTTATGCATGGAAAATTTCTCAGCTAAGAAAAGTTAGCTCTGAGCAGCGTTCGGCCTGATGCTAATACTTTACCAATGGGGATTTCCCTTTTCTTTTCTGCTTTTGAGACAGGGTCTCATTTTACTTCCCAGGCTGGAGTGCAGTGGTGCGATCATGGATCACTGCAGCCTCCATCTCCCCGACTTAAGCTATCTTCCCACCTCGGCCTATTGATTAGTTGGGACTACATGTGTGCACCACCACGACCGGCTAATTGAAAAAATTTTTTGTAGAGACAGGGTCTCCCTATGCTGCTCAGGCTGGCCCGAATTTCTGGGCTCAAGCGATCCTTCCACCTCGGCCTCCCAAAGCGCTGGGGTAGCAGGAGTGAGCCACAGCGCCAGGCCTGGAGATTTTCTTTGCAGATAAAAATCATTTTACAAAAAGACAGCTTTTCAGAGCTACTCCTGTGCCTGCAGTTTCTAAGAATAATCCCCTCAAAAAATGCCGAAGAAGTATATTTTGGGGTGGCATATGCTGGTCTCCCACAGCCATACACCTCGCAGTGGCGCTTGGGGCCCCTGGGTGCCTAGAGCTGCAGTTACTCCCTCTCCCTCGCCCGCTCTCGGCCTTTCCCTCGCTGCTGTTGAAATTCTTTGCTGCGTGAAGGTGGAGCGCTTAGGACCTTTATTTGGTTGTTTTCCTTTGCATAAAAAGAACACTTGTTTTGAAGCCGGGCAAGGTGCAGCTTCCAAAGGCACCTGGGATGAGGCCCCTCCAGCGGCAGGCGAGCTGGGGGTGTGGGCGGAGGGTGGAAGGCAGGCGCTGGGGGACCTGTTGTTTTCCTGTTACAAGAGAAAAGGAAACAAAGTGGGAAGTGCAGGGTGCTGGCTGGCTGCAGGAGGGGCCGCCCCGCCGCGCCCCGCCTCCCTCCCTCGAGGCTCACTCGCGCCCAGCGCCTTCGCTCCGAGCGGCCGCGAGCCGAGCCGCCCAGCCCAGTCAGCTGCGCCGGGACGGGTAAGCGACGCCGCTGGCTGCGTCAGGGAAGGTGGGAAGAGGACCGGGGCCAGGGGCTTCGGGAGCCAGGGCTGCGCTCTGCGCCGCGGGGCGGGCTGGCGGGCGTTTCTCCGGCACACACAGCCCGTGCGCCCTGGCCCTGGGCGCCCCCCCGCGTCTAGCGAGCCGGACCCTGGGCGCCCCGGAGTCCGGGCCTCTGGGACCTGAGCGGGGGCTGCCCTGGAGGCCCGGGGCCGTCCCCCGTGGGCCCGCCGAGAGGGGCGCGCGCAGCTCCCCGGTGCCTGCACTGCGCGCCTGGTCCGCGCGGCCCGGTGGCGGGGTCCCGGCTGCGTTCCCAGCGGCGGTGCGGCCTCCGGTGCGCCGGCCGAGGCTCCAGGAGACTGGAGGCGCTCACCGCGAGCGCCCGTCCGAACGCTGGCGAGAGGACCAGGGGCCTCCTACGCTCCCACTGACGGGGTCCCGGCTGCGCTCCCACTGGCGGTGGCGTCCGAGTGCCCTGGCGCGGAGAGAGGGCCGCGCACAGCTCGCCGGCGCCGGGGTCCTCTGTGCCCTTCCCAGCCTGGGCAAAGGAGGAGAGCGGCTGGAGCAGGGCCGGGGTGGAAGTTTCTGGGGCTCCCTCCCGGCGCCTGGACCCGCGCCCCGCCTCCCCGTCCCGGGCTGCTGCGCAGCTCGCCGCATTTGCTGCCGGCGAGATCAGCCCCGGATCTGCGGCGGAGTAGGGGTTACGCCGGCAAAACCGCCCTCAGCTTTGCATTTCCGGACTTTTTTTTTTTTTAATACTCTTACCCGTAATTCAGCCTGAATGAGGCTTTTGCAAAAAAAATCTCGTTTCCTGTTTTTATTTAGACTTACTCATCTTCACCTCCTCCTTTGAGATCAAGAAGAGGGGAACTAGGATGACCTTTCTTGGGCACCAGGATGGGGCGCTGTGGGGCGGGAAGCGGGGGTCCAGAGAACCGGGTAAGGGTCGCTGGGAGATCCCGCCGAAATGCGCTCTGGGTGGGACGAGGGTGGAGCAGGTAGGGGCGAGATTTCGGGGGTCGTGGGTTGGGGGCGCCCTGGAGCGGCCGAGGTGCGGGGTCCTCTCGTGTCACCCTTAGGGTCTACCCAGTTTGTGGATGGAGCCCGGGGCTGATCGGGGAGCCCTCACTTGGTGCAGGTGTTTCCTGGAAGGAAGGACCTGTGGATCTTGAAACCCACCAGACTCCATCAAGGGAGGTTTCTTCCTCCGGGCTCCTGAGAAGTGTCACCGCTGAGATGCTGGGCACAGCCGCGCGTGGATGTGAAGCGGGTGTGCCGTGGGCTGGAGTGGGAGTGGGCTCTTTTTCCTTTCTCAGAGCTCTCGGAGTGGAAGGTTTACTGCTCCTTAGGAACTTTGAAACCGAGGGCTAACCCCCTGCTCTCTTCCAGAAGAGTGGGTGCCTGACAGTGCTTGGTATTCTTGTCAATTGAATGGTACCATAGGGACGTTTCTCCCCCAAAGAACGGATCGTTCTTACCTTTGCGGTTTCAGTTGGACAACCGTAGGAGCTGAGTGGCGTTGTCTTCATTTTGCAGTAAGGAAACGAAGGCTCAGAAAAGTTAAATAACTCACCAACCCACACAGTTTACAAGTAACTCCACCAGATCCCAGCGCTTTCCGACGCCAGCGCATTTAATCATCTGGGGGTGCCGTTGCTTGCGAGGGGGCAGGAGAATGTCCTAGTAATTCTTTTGGGGGGGGTGTGGGGGGACGGACGACCTTTCAGAGAGCAGCCTCTAAGAAACCCCTGGAGACTCCCCTGTAACACCCGCTGCTGCCATTCACACCCCCTCCCCAATTTGATTGATGTGTTGAGTGGGGAGGAAGGTTTTTTCGGTTGATGAGGCTGTGACCAAATGCAAGGAGATATAAATAGAGCTTTTTCTTTGGCTCGTTCTAGAGCAGAAATGCCAACCCCTTAGCATTTCCATGGCCCGCTGGAGTTTGATTTCTTGGTGTTAGGATTCCAGCCACCTTGGCAGGTGAGAGGCCTGCCAAGACAAGGCCTGCCAGACGCCCAAGGCGTCCTGGGCTTGGTCCTCTTTGGGTACTTTCACAGAGTGATGGAAGACACTCTGGTGTGCTGGAGGAGTGCTCTTAAACCCAACTGTGGCTGAGAGCGGTTGCTCAGACCTTTCATCCCAGCGCTTTGGGAGGCCCAGACGGGAGGATCACTTGAAACCAGGAGTTGCAGTGAGCTATGATAGTGCCACTGCGCCCCAGCCTGGGTGACAGAGCGGGAGCCAAACTCTGAAAAATCTAACACACAGCAACCCAGTTGCCTGCTCTAGAGACAACTAAGCTAGCCTCCTTCTGAGCCCCACTTCCCCTACCCCTCAGCCCATGTTCAGAAACAGGCCACACTGCTCACTTAGATGTTTCTAGATAGGGCATGTGCCCCAGAGGTACTCCTGACCATGCAGATGTCCCCGTCTACCAGGACAAGCTGCATTTCTGTTTCTGCAGCCTCAGTCCACGCCGCCAGTTCTTTTCACTAAGCTGTGGGCTCGGTTTCTTCTCTTGTACTGAGTTTAGCAAGTGTTTCCTGAGGTGCCACGGGGGGCCAGGGGCTATGCTAAAGACCAGGCAGGCAGACTGGGAGGACATTGGCCCTTGGGGTGCTTACAGGACCGACAGGCCACCAATAGCTGGAGGCCAGCCACCATAGCCAGTTCGTTTTCACACAAGTGTGTCTGAGGAAATTCGTGGGTGGGAGTGGGAATGGTGAGAGGTCAGTTCCTGCTTGAACTTGTTTTTCTTCAATTGCACAGTGAAAGGGAGAAGTGAAAGTGCAACGGATGAAGCAATTCCCCCTCGGCTTTTCTTATTTTCAAAACCATTTCTGTGTAAAGAGCAGTTCGCTCAGTCCCGGAGGCCAGCTGCCGGTGTGGCCCGGCTGGTGGGGTTTGGGGCCCCAGCAAATGTTTCCTTAACGTGGGACCTTTGGAAAGCTCTTTCAGGCTGGGCACGGTGGCTCACGCCTGTAATCCCAGCACTTTGGGAGGCCGAGGCAGGCAGATTGCTTGAGGTTAGGAGGAGTTCAAGACCATCCTAGTGAACATGGAGAAATCCTGTTTCTGCTAAAATAAATAAATTAAATAAATAAAAATTAGCTGGGTGTGGTGGTGACCACCTGTAATCCCAGCTACTCAGGAGGCAGAGGCAGGAGAATCGCTTGAACCCAGAAGGTAGAGGTTGTAGTGAGCTGAGATTGCACCACTGCACACCAGCCTGGGCAACAAAGTGAGGCTCCATCTCAAAAAAAGAAGAAAAAAAAGCTCTTTCATTCAGGAGGGTGGCTTCAGCTACTCCCCAGGGGACACGCATGTTTCCCAGCAAAGCTGTTAGAGAAGATGGTCTATAAGCAGTGCCCCAGGGTGGATGAGACGAGGCAGGGCCCTGCCCACTGGAGGATGGCAGAGCCTGGCTTGTTTGAGAGGGAGGAAAATATTGTCACCTTGGTACCGGTGACAGTGTTTCATAAATAGTGAAGGTTGCAAAACGCCACCTCTTTCCCTACAGTTAATGCTAAGACTCACTTGTCTTTAATTTGGTTGGTGGAAATTCCCCCAATCATATCAGAAATGTGCCAGTTTCAAGATGGAAAAAAAGAAAAAACCCAGGAACCCCACTGCCCCCCTTTTCCCCTTTTTGATTGCAGCTAAACACTGTGGCTTGCTGTGGGTCCTACCAAAATAATAAGCCACTCTCCGCTCCCTGAGGGCCAGCACCCTGGGGCTTGTGAAAGTTCCAGCTGCTCTGGCTGGATATGCGTGAAACTCCCCTCCTGCCCCCCGAAGTGACAACCTCACCACCTCGGATAAGGGTCAGGACTCCTGGAAATGGGTGCCTTTTCCTATTACTTACTTTCTGTGTGTTTTTTTGTCTTTTGTTTGTTTGTTTGTTTTTTTGAGACAGAGTTTCACTCTTGTCGCCCAGGCTGGAGTGCAGTGACATGATCTCAGCTCACTGCAACCTCTGCCTCTTGGGTTCAAGCGATTCTCATGCCTCAGCCTCCCGAGTAGCTGAGATTACAGGTGCCTGCCACCAGGCCCAGCTAATTTTTCTATTTTTGGTAGACATGGGGTTTCGCCATGTTGCTGCTGGTCTCGAACTCCTGACCGCAGATGATCCACCCGCCTCAGCCTCCCAAAGTGCTGGGATTACAGGTTTGAGCCACCATGCCTGGCCTTCCTATTAAATTCAGAGCACAGGGGGAGTGATCAGAGTGAAGGGTGGCATTTCTAAAGTGGTATTTCAGTTGGCTTCCGTTTCACTCATATTGGGGGAAAGTGCTTCCACTTAGAGAAAATGCTGGGAGAGTGGGGGTGCCAGGAGTGGGGTGCGGGGTAGGAGACGCAGAAAGGGATGGACCTGTTTGGGACTTTTGGTCCTGGAGGGACGGGGTGCAGGTCAAGAATCCCTTATCCAACATGCTTGGAACCAGAAATGTGCTGGATTTTGGAATATTTGCATTATATGCTTACCAACTGAGCATCCTACGTCCAAAAATCTGACATCTGAAATGCTCCAAGGAGCTTTGTATTTGAGCATGGTAGCACTCAAAAATTTTAGATTTGGGAATGTTTTAGATTTCAGATTTGGGATGCCCAACCTGTGGTAACCTCCTGTAGCTACTGTAACAAATGACCTCAAACTTTTTGGCTTAAAAGCAACAGAAACATCCCAGTGCTTTGGGAGGCCGAGGCGGGCGGATCACGAGGTCAAGAGATCGAGACCATCCTGGCCAACATGGTGAACCCCCGTCTCTACTAAAAATACAAAAATTAGCGGGGTGTTTGGCATGCACCTGTAGTCCCAGCTACTGGGGAGGCTGAGGCGGAAGAATCGCTTGAACCCGGGAGGTGGAGGTTGCAGTGAGCCGAGACTGTGCCACTGTGCTCCAACCTGGCGACAGAGCAAGACTCTGTATCAAAAAAAGAAAAAAAACAAAAAACAGAAACATGCATGCATATTAGTTTCAGCTACTTGGGAGGCTGAGGTGGGAGGATCACTTGTGCCCAGGAGTTGGAGGCTGCAGTGAGCCATGATTGAGCCTGAGTAGCCATGGCACTACAACCTGGGCAACATTGCAAGATTCTGTCACTAGAAAAAAAAAAAGAAATTAGCCAGGCAAAGTGGCTCACACCTGTAATCCCAGCACTTTGGGAGGCTGAGGTGGGCAAGTCACCTGAGATCAGGAGTTTGAGACTCTCCTGGTGAATGTGGTGAAACCCCATCTCTACTAAAAATACAAAAATTAGCCGGGTGTGGTGGCATGCACCTGTGGTCCCAGCTATTCGGGAGGCTAAGGCAGGAGAATCACTTGAACCCAGGAGATGGCGCTTGCAGTGAGCTGAGATCGCGCCATTGCACTCTAGCCTGGGAGACAGAGTGAGACCCATCTCAAATAAAAGAAGAATAAAAAAAAGAAAACAGAAAAGTATCCTCTTACAGGGAGAATCGCTTGAACCCGGGAAGCGGCGGTTGCAGTGAGTTGAGATCACACCACTGCATTCTAGCCTGGGTGACAGAGCGAGACTCCAACTCAGAAAAAAAAAAAGAAATGTATTCTCTCACAGTTCTGGAGGCCAGAAGTTAAAAATTAAGGCGTCAGCAGGGCTTTGCTCCCTCCGGGGGCTGTGGGGAGAGTCTTTCTTGGCTCTTCCTTCTGGGGGCGCCGTCATATCTTGGCCTGTGGCTATATCATCATCTCTGCCTCTGTCTTCACAAGGACGTCTCCTCCATGTGTCTGGGTCTCTGTCTCTTATAAGTGCACTGTCCTTGGATTTGGGACTCCCCCGGATAATTCAGGTAGTAATCATTCCAGGATCTTTAACTCACTTATATCTGCAAAGACCCATTTTCCACATTATTATTTTTCCAAATAATGCCCAGGTCCTGGGGGTTAAGACCTATCTTGTGGGGGCCACCATTCAGCCCGCAGCAGATAAACAGGAATATCTTTCTGTA